AACTTTGTCCAAACCCAGTCTCCAGGATTTAATTTACTCATATTTTAAATGAAGGTGATGTAGTTTACCTACAGGTTCTCTCTTAGTCTGTTGGAGCTACTGTAATAAAATACTACAGACCGGGTAACTTAAACGACAGACAGACATTTATTTCTTATAGTTCTGGAGAGTTCTGGAAGTCCAAGGTCAAGGTGCTGACATATTCAGTGTCTGGTTAGGGCTCTTATCTTGGTTTGCAGGTGACCGTCTTCTCGTTATGTCTCCCCATGGCTTTCCTTGGTGTGTGCACAACAGAGAAGAGAGAGAAAACTCAGGTCTATTCCACTTGTTATAAGGGCATTATTCCCATCACGAGGTCCCCACCCTTATGATTTAATATAACCCTCATTACCTCTCAGAGGTCCTACCTCTAAAAACTGTCACAGGAGGGATTAAGGCTTCGACATGAATGTTAGGGAGGTACATACATTCACTTCATAGCAAGGTCTCTTTTAGTCATCATCCTATGACTAAGAGACTGCCACACATTGGAAAGTTAACATAGGTAACAACGTAGTTCTCAAGGTTTGCGTATAGACAAATTTGAGCTTCAGCCTCAGCTCTGATTCTTATATCTTCATGATGTTGACCAAATTATAAATCTAGGTCTCAATTTTTTTCAACCGTGAAATTGTTCAATAATAGTATCTATTTGTAGAGTTGCTGTCGAGATTAAATGAAAATCGTACATGTAAAGCACGGAGCACAGTGTTTGGCCATCAAAACAGATCCTTGATAAGCATTAGGCTTTCAAATTATGAAAAACAACCAAATTTATTTGAACGAAAGCTGAGACTGGTAATACAATAAATGAAATGACTTCACTAGTGCTTTGGTCTTTAATTAATCAAAATTTATTTATATTTGACAGTAAATTTTGGAAGTCTCTTGTTAATTATAACATATTTCAACACAGACAAATCATGTGTGTGTTGTGTATATGCATGTGTACAAGTATGTGAACATATGTACCTGAAAGTCTTCTCCTTCATTTCTTTGAGTAATGAGCTCATTTTCTACTATCATATAAAAATTTCAACTCTCACACCACTGCCAAGTTTGGGATATATTTTACCTACATAAAGACTGTGCTTTTATTCCAATGAAACCAGAAATTATTTAACACTGCTTTGTTTTTAAAGATTATTCCCTAACAAAAATGTTAGGGAATAATCACAAAAAGGATGCTCCAACTAAATGTCACTGGCAGGGAAATGATAAATGCCAACCAACCAACCACACACACACACACACACACACACACAAAAAAAGGATGCTCCAATTAAATGTCACTGGCAAGGAAATAATAAATGCCAACCAACCACACACACGCACACACCCTCAACTCTTAAAACCTCCAATTCCTGTAAATCATACCTTGTTGACATTCATGCCATTAATAATGTAGCAAGAATCCTAAAATATTTAATACTTAGATTTTATAGAAATCATTGATTGTCCCCGCAGGTTTAGTGACTCAAATGAAAAAGTAAATCTAAGCCCGTTCTCACATGACCTGAAATGTCAAAGCGACGAATTATTTTTAAGGCTTAACTTGGGTTACTCAGAGAGTGACAGCCACTGGAAGAAGTGAGCTTCTCAGTTATGCAACAAGACACCAACCGTCAGTAAGAAAGGATGGCTGCACGATTTTTAACAGCTGGATTTTCAACACATGAACTTGAGTTGAATGAATTCTTACCTCTGGACTTCAGAGATCATAGTCTTCATGTCTTCCCGTAACCACTAGTACGGAAGGCATTTGCTACAACTCCAGAACATTTAAAGAAGAAAGGGGAAAATGCACATCACAGAGGACAACTTTGGGGAGTGGGGCGTGGGATTTTTCACATTTCAGTAAAATTTAAGCTTCTAGAGAGCAAGGAGTGATTCTGAATGCTCATGGAGCATAAAACACAACCTAGGTATCATTCATAACTTGAAATGCAGTGAAGAAGAAGTAGCACATGGAGCTGGAAATTCAAGAGGACCATGTCTTCATGGAAACTTCAAGTAGTTCTCTCTCTAAATTTGGTTCAAAATGTACTGTCGAGATGTGTGGGATTTATTTCTGCACACTGGGTGGGTTTATGTATTTAGAAAAGGACTACCAGGAATATATGCCCAGAAAGTGACTTTAAGCTCTACCAAATGATCTGATTTCTGGCCTTTCAAAGGAAATCAATAAAAAAAGAATAGGATTCTGTAAAATGAGTGATTTTTCCCTGGTAAAGCTGTCCTCCCCATCATTGTACTTATCTAAAGTGAACCTGTCACAGCTGTAATGATTTTGTGATGAGTGTGAATGAATGTTCTTCACCACATAGATCCACTACTGATTTTTAAATTAATAATAATATCTTATATTTATACAGTTACCATCTTTGAGGAAATCTGAGTGCTTCGTAATTGATGAATTCCAATTTGTTTTATACTCTCCTGCTGGATTTATGGATTAGGTATTCCAATCGCATTTTAAGGAGGAAAAATAGAATCGGCAAAGTTAAATCATTGGCCATGAAAATTTCAGAAAGCTAACAGTACGATCATCAGTTCAAATCTGGGAGTCTTGACTTCTAATTCTGGCTGTTTCCCAAAATCATCTGATCATTTGGGTCAATGCTGATTATTCCTTAAGGAATAAGAAATTGACCATAACAATTATTTGAAATTGCTGCGATTAACAGATATTTACATTTATCTTCATTATTTTGATGGTGTGCAATGATTGGGCCGAAGACATTTTTATTTATTGAACCATATGCATTTTTAGTGGCCTATGAGAGTATCTTTGGAATACTGTCAAGTCACATGGGTCTGAAGTCGATCCGGTAAGGGAGCTATGGAAAACTTAAATTCTGCTATTAGATAGGTATGATTTTCCAAGAGCTGGGTATCTCCATTGCCTACCTGGCATTGCTTTAGCTGACAGAAAAATGAAATAATCTCCCCAACAAACACATGTTCAAAACACTCATTGTACCTACCATCCTTTGGATCACTCATTCTTTCAGCCTTAAAACTGTGCGGCTTTGCTCTTTCCCCATTCTTGTATTATAATTCCTGTCAAATTTTCTCTGACAAGTTTGTTACTTTGTCCCTCTGTATTCTTACCGCTGCCCCTCTACTCCTCACGTACTATTACGTGGTAACCTCCTTATTTGTCTCTCCTACTTCAGTTGTCTATTCTTCAGTCTACCGTAGATCAATTTTCCTAACAATTCTTTGTAAGTTTTGAATTATGGATTATTCGGGCACGCAAAAAGGATACAGAATACTATGGTGAACATCCATATCCCCACCACCTGGCTTTAAAATATGCAGCAGCACAGTTGGAAGCCTCTCCACGATCTCATTCCATTTATTTCCCCTCACCCCTAATTGCGAATTTAATGGGTATTCTCATGTATATTTTTATACTTTTACCATCTATATCTGTATCTATAAAAATACATATGATTTTTTACGCCAATCATTTATTTCTGAAACTTTTTTTTTTTTTATTGTGGCTTTGAGATTTCCACTACTGTTTGAAAGTTTCTTCATGCTCGTGCCTGTGGCTGTAGTTCCTTCGGTTTCATCCTTAAAGCCCTTAGGTTCCACACGCTGCAAGTTCTCCATTCTTCTAAGGCTGGACATTGAGATAGTGGCTATTTTTTTCTCAAAACAAATTTTTAATAATATTTAAATAAATACTTTGGACACCTTTCCTTGTTCACACTTAGGAGAGTCTCTTCAGGGCATGCACCCAAGTTTCTAGGTCCTAGGTTGGCAAGATCTGCTCTGTTTCAAATATATTGCTAAAAAATGGTGGTGTCATCTGACGCATCTGACTTAAGTGTCATATTCCACGTAGAAAAGACTTCATCGGCCTCTCCATTGACTTTCAATGAAATTTCAACCTCTTGAAAGAGGAGAGCTGCTCTTCGCTTTTCTGCCTGAAGGAACTTGCCCCTGGGGACTCCTTTTTGTGAGGGGATCACAAATTCAAAAGCTCTAGGGCTCCACGCTGAAATATCAATGTGTGGAAAACTCAGGGCATGGTGGGAGCTGGAGCGGATGGAAGACATGGAGCCACGTACCTGGGCACCATGTTCGACTTACTGACTGCCACTTTATGGTCCTTGAGGTTCTTGTGTTATCCAGTTTATTTCCTGAGACTGTCTCAGAATTGTGTAATCATCCAATTACACAATGCTCTGTCCAGTAGCAAAGAGCAAGGCCCCTGGAACCAGCCTGCCCAGGTTTGAACTCCTGCTCCGCTGCTACGAGTTGCCTGCCCTTGAGCAGGCTCCGTAATATCCATGGGGCTCGGTTTCCTTGCTTGTAAAATGGGAGAGATGCTCATACTTAGTTTGTAAGGCTGTGGTGAGAACCAAATGAGATAATACATGTAAAGCTCTCAAGTAGGTGCCTAATAAATTTTTGTAGAATTTGTTGAAGAGAGTAAAAGTAACAAAAAGTTATACCTCCCGTGTGTCAGGCACTGTTTTAGGAACTGAGGAGATAGCCTTGA